GACAAGATACCTTGTCACGGCCAAGGCTGAGCTTGCTTGTAGGCATTTGATTTTGCCACATTCCGTCCTATGTTTGCGCCCAGCAGCAGGAGGTCATTTCATGATGAGGAGTCAAATATCGCAACAATGCTTTACTCGCCATGTTAAAAAAAAAAAAAAAAAAGATCGCTGAGGGCCACCGATCCTTTGGGTCGATTGCCGCTCTCCATCGGTGTCTTTTATGGCCCATCGTCTTCATTGTATGTGATCAATAGCCAAAGTTGGCTTTGCACCCTTGTCTATCGGTACAGTACACATCCCAGCGCACAGCAAGAACATGACCGTTTTAGAAGAGAATGGCTTCCATGAATAGATAACGGGACCATCCACTCTTCAGAAGTTTCAACTTCTTCAGAAGGCTGTGACGTCACTCGCAAAAGGTGAATATGGACCCTGTTTCGCTGTGCGAAGGCAACTTCCACCATCGCGGTAGAGCAAAATGCGGAATGCCACTGCCAATCATGTACTATACTCGTTTAAAAAAAACAAAACAAAACTCTGAAACCACCCTGACAACAAGCCAAGTCACCCGTTTTTAGGTGACTGCAAAACGGATGATGAAATCCCCGCTCAGGTGGTGACGAGTACCAAGTTTTCGAAGTCTGCTGCGTTCAGCTGCAGCGAAAGCAGTCACACTCTGTATAAACCGATGGGGATTTTTGTTTTGTTTTGTTTGTTTTGAATCCCATTTTGTTTCTGGAGAACATGATAGCGCAGCGGCTTATCTTGTCCACGTGTGGCCCTCCCCGTAGGTGTGTAGCACAAGCGGTCGCAGCGGTGCAGACATGAGCGTCACCTCCTGGTTCCTGGTGAGCAGCGGGGGGACTCGCCACCGACTGCCCCGCGAGATGATCTTCGTCGGGCGGGACGACTGCGAGCTCATGCTCCAGGTGAGGACGCCCTTGCAGTTGTTTGAAGTGCAAGGGCGTCGGCTTCAGCCCGCTCGGTTTTCACGCGCGCAGGCGCAAGGATTTTTGGACAGTCCAGTGAAGTGGCGGGCTTGCTCCAACTGCAAAACGTGTTGGCGGGCACACGCAGTCGGTGTCCGTGGAGCCGCGAGAGAAACTCTCTTGCCTGCGGGGCTTGGGAATACTTGTGGTCATTGCGCTATTCATAGAAAGTGGGGCAGATATTTGGATTCCATTGATTTTCTGGCCACGGCGCTCTCCGCCATCCTGATTTTAGACTTCCACTTTTTAGATTTTAACGCAACGTCCCAACGTCATTGGAATTGGGTTTGGAGTTGGAAAAATACACACACGCGCGAGCATTCAAGGAAAATGCAAACAAAAGTATTGCAGGATAATCTGACACCAGACAAAATGTCATCGCACTGTAAAAAGAACGAAAAGAGGATCACAAAGAAGAAACGGCTTCTTCCTTGCCCCGGCCGACCCTTCGCCCAGTTTCACAAAAATGGCTTGAGTAGTTTGCGCAATCCCGCGGAAGCCAACGAAAACAGAACCTCGTCGGCAGATGTCAGAAAATAGCCCGCCGTGTTTCTTTCCCCGGCTGGCCTGAAGGCTGTCACAGTGCGTTCCTGCCATCATCTCCCTCTTTCTCTGATGCAATGGCATGCAACAAGTTGCTCTCAATGTCTCTTGACCCGATTTCCCCTCTGCTCCGCGCTAGCTCGCATCGGCCACGATTTTTTTTTTTCTCTCTCTCCCCCGGCCGGACCTTCACTTGGCCCGGAATCGTGGACACGTTTCTTGTCGTCGTCCACGCGACCGCTCCAACGGGGCATCCTTCCTTATCATCCCACCTATTGTCGCGCGTCTCCGACGGCGACAAGCGACATGAAGCACGTTGGTCTCGATGAGCCTCAGTTTGCACCGAGGTCGTGCGCGGTCACATCCGGAAGCGCTTCTGAGCCAACCGCCGTGTGTGGGCGACGGCAACAAAAGTTGGCGCCATCCCAGCGTTGGGGTCAAACGAGCCGCTCGATCCGTCCGGATCCCCTTTGAGCCGGCCTAATCCCGCTAAAGTCATCTGCGTTGCGGTCGGCCGGCGAGAGGCGCTTCTCCAAAGCCTTTCTTTCTTTCTTGGGGATCTCGGCGCCGATCGAAACCTTCCCGTCGCACGAGGAGAACTGATGAAGCCAAGAAAGGCGCGGGTGTTAGAGGCCGCTGGGACTTCCTTCATTTTTGGGAGTGAGGCAAAGCCGCTCTCAAAGTGCCACCAGAATGCATTTCTCCGTTTGACCCCGACGTGCTCGGAGGAATAATGAGAATGCTCGCATTCTTCGCACCCCTCCCCAGATGACACGCGCCGACACGCAGCCTTCAAACGGATATGATTTCCCTTCTCCGATCATGCCGGCCGAGTCATCGCGTGATCGAGAACCGTTTTTTTTTTTTTCCAGCCCTCACCTGCGAGCTGCCCGCGCCATGTTTTTCTTTGTGCTTTACAGTCGCGCAGTGTGGACAAGCAGCACGCCGTCATCAACTACGAGCCCGGCTCAGACGAACACAAGGTCAAGGACCTGGGCAGCCTGAACGGGGTGAGTGTTTCCCACCAAACGTGCCGAGGCCCGAAGAATACAAATGAAAGAATCGCGACGGATCGGCGGCGCGGCGCGGGACGAGGCGTCTTGGTTTATACGGAGATTCATCCGGAGAGGTCGACTTGTTTGTCGTCAGCCTCGGGAGCCGCTCTGCTATCGCTT